TTGCTTGAGTCTGAGTTGGAGGTTGCTATGAGCTGTGATGCCATGGCATTCTACCCAGGGCAACAGGTTAAGACTGTCTCAAAAAAAAAAAAAAAAAGGAATGTGTAGCTAGCTAGTGGGTACCTAAACAAGATCATCTGAGTACTGACTTTGCCTTCTTGTCTCTGTTTTCCTTCTCTTTCCTCAAGTCTGGTGGCTTCATGGACATGTTTGGGATGATGAACGACATGATTGGGAACATGGTAAGACTCATGCCCCATACCCTTCCCTGGCATTGTTCTCAGAGGTGGCTGACAATCCTTGAGTCCTCTGAGGCAAGTGAAGGGTTTGAGTTGGATAAGGTAGTTGAACCCAGAAAGCCCTGGGATTCTATCTGCTCTCATGCCTGGATGTGAAAAAGCAGCAGCAGTCTTATTAAGTGTATAGTTAAGGCTCTGTTCCTATAGGTTTTTATGTTTATTGTTGGAGTCAGAGTAATTTGGGGGGTAATACTGAGACGATGTTCTCTCAGTCTTCACATATTGTGAAAAAGATGTGGACAAGAACAGGCAGCTGCAGGGTGAAATCCCTTTCCCAGAGGGGATACCTTCTCACTCAGCCATTCCTGCCTTTTCCAAATCCTCAGGAACACATGACAGCTGGGGGCAATTGCCAGACGTTCTCATCCTCCACTGTCATCTCCTACTCTAATACGGGTGATGGTGCCCCCAAGGTCTACCAAGAGACATCAGAGATGCGCTCAGCACCAGGCGGGGTGAGTGGGCAGTCCCTCCTATCCTAAAGAAGGCAGGATTGAGTGGCATCACAGAAACTTTGGCTGTTTTTTTTTCAGGATTGGGTTGTAGGGGTGTGTTTATCCTGGCTGGGATGGTGTAGCCAGGGCTTTGGAAGGGGCAGCTGAGTGTGCCACATTCTGCCTTATCCTAGATCCGGGAGACTCGGAGGACTGTTCGGGATTCAGACAGTGGACTAGAACAAATGTCCATTGGGCATCACATCCGAGACAGGGCCCACATCCTCCAGCGCTCACGAAACCACCGCACGGGGGACCAGGAGGAGCGGCAGGACTATATTAACCTGGATGAGAGTGAGCCTTCCTTTCTACTTCTTAGCCAGCAGCCTCCATTTCAGTTCCTATGAGCTAGGAGATATTCCTACCACCATAGATACAAAGTTAGCCCTGTATTCCCACCTCACTTTGACCTTACTGTCAGGTGAGGGACTGAGTCAGCTACTGGCAGTGCCCTTATTAGGGAAGGGCAAACTTTGTCACTTAAGTCAGTTATTGATAGTATTCTGCCCTTTTCTGTCTGGACCAATTTTCTTTCTCCTCCCTTTGTCTTTTTCAAATCTGCAAATATTTATTAAATACTTGTTGGGTACATAGGGCTATGAATCTTTTTTTTTTTTTTTGAGGCAGAGTCTCAAGCTGTCACCCTGGGTAGAGTACTGTGGCATCATAGCTCACAGCAACCTCTAACTTACACTCAAGCAATCATCTTGCCTCAGTTTTTCTATTTTTAGTAGAGACTCTTTTGCTCAAGCTGGTCTTGAACTTATGAGCTCAAGCAATCCACCTGCCTTGGCTTCCCAGAGTGCTAGGTTTACAGGTGAGTCACCTGTAAACCTGAGCCACCGTACCTGGCCAGGGCTATGAGTCTTAACTAAATAATTTTCCCAGTCCTGGTTTTTTTCTCCAGTAATTATGCCATAGGCCTGCCAGTGGCTTCTAGGGACCATGTTGAAACCAAAAAAGCTAAATAAAGTTGCTGTTCTTTCCCCTTAGTCCTTGCCCATTTTTGGTCTTATTAAAAGGCTGTAGCTCATTCATACATCTGTGTCCAGAAGCCAGGCCATACATAGATAGGTGTCACACCTGCTCTCCTTTGTCCTGTTCAGGTGAGGCTGCAGCATTCGACGACGAGTGGCGGAGGGAAACATCCCGATTCCGGCAGCAGCGCCCCCTGGAATTTCGAAGGCATGAGGCGGCGGGGGGTGGGGGACGAAGAGCTGAGGGGCCTCCCCGCTTGGCCATACAGGGACCTGAGGAGTCCCCCTCCAGACAGTCCCGCCGCTATGACTGGTGAGGGCCCTTGGCCCTTAGCCTCTCTTGTAAGTATTTGAGGGGGAAGAATGGGAAGGAGGGTTTAGTGAGTGTACCTCTGCACATTTCCTTTGTCAGGATGCAAAAGCAGTCTAGGTTCCTAGCAAATACTGCCTTGACAGTAGAAGTCTTAGTTGGGGGCAGTGCCTGTGGCTCAGTGAGTAGGGCGCCGGCTCCATATACTGAGGGTGGTGGGTTTGAATCCAGCCCTGGCCAAACTGCAACAAAAAAATAGCCAGGTATTGTGGCAGTCACCTATAGCCTCAGCTTCTCAGGAGGCTGAGGCAAGAGAATCACCTAAGCCCAAAAGCTAGAGGTTGCTGTGAGCTGTGACACCATGGCACTCTACCGAGGGTGACAAAATGAGACTGTCTTCTTAAAAAGTCTTAGTTGGGGCTCAGCGCCTGTGGCTCAAGTGGCTAA